AATACACACTTGGAAAAGAACAACGTCTTCAACAAATGATGTTGGCAAAACTGGATATCCCAATATAAAATAATAAATTAGACCTCTATCTTATACCATATATAAAACTCAACCCAAAATGGACTGAATTAAATCTGTTTAAGTTTCTTTAAAAGAATAATTTGGCTTCTAAGAATTTTATAGTTTCAGTTTCAGTTTATAGTTTCAGGTCTTACATTTAAAGAAACATAAGAAACTGAAACTGTAAGATTTCTAGAAGAAAACATAGGGGGAAATTTTATTGAGATTGGTTTTGGCCATTATTTCTTGAATATGACACCAAAAGCACAGGCAACAAAGGCAAAAACAGACAAGTGAGACTACATCAAACCAAAACACTTCTACACCACAAAGGAAATGAACAACAGAACAAAAAGAACGGGAGAAAATATTTGCAAGTCTTATATCTGATAATGGGCTAATATTCAAAACATTGAAGAAAATCCTGCTACTTGGCCAGGCATGGTGGCTCATGCCTGTAATCCTAGGACTTTGGGAGGTCGAGATGGGTAGATCATGAGGTCAGCAGATTGAGACAATTCTAGCCAACATGGAGAAAGTTCATCTCTACTAAAAAAAGAAATACAAAAATCAGCTGGTGGCACATGCCTGTAATCCCAGCTACTCAGAAGGCTGAGACAGGATAATCACTTGAACCAGGGAGTCAGAGGTTGCAGTAAGCTGAGATTGTGCCACTGCATTCTAGCCTGGTGACAGACCAAGACTCCATCTCAATAAAGAAAAAGAAAAAGAAAAAGAAACTCCTGCAACTCAAAAGAAAATTTGAAACTCAAACTAATTTTAAAATGGGCAAAGGGCTTTAACAGACATTTTTCTGAAGAAGGCATACCAATACTCAAGTCATCTTAAAAAGGCTCTCAATATCACTAATCACCAGGAAAATGCGAATAAAACCTATAATGAGATATGGTTTTATACCTGTTGAGGATGGTGATTATAAAAAAAGAAGAAAGAAAAAGATAATAAGCATTGGCGAGAATGTGGAGAAATTGGAAACCTTGTGCACTATTAGTGGGAATGTAAAATGGTATACATTATGGAAAACAGCATGGAGATTCCTCAAAAAATTAAAAATGAAACTACCATATGATCCAGCAATCCCATTTCTGGGCATATATCTAAAATAATTGAAACCAATATCTTGAAGAGATATTTGTATTCCCATGTTCATTGTAGCATTATTCATAATAGCTAAAATATGAAAACAACTCAAATGTTCATCAACAGACGAATGGGTAAAGAAAAGGAGGACAGGCACAGTGGCTTATGTCTGTGAGCCCAGCACTTTGGGATGCCAAGGCAGGAGGATCATGAATCCAGGAGTTTGAGACTAGACTGGATTCATGAGAGGAGTTTGAGGCTTACAAAGAGAGACCCCATCTCTACAAAAATTAGTCAGGCATGTTGGTGCACACCTGTAGTCCAAGCTATTCAGTCAGCTGAGGCAGGAGGACTGCTTGACCCCAGGAGTTTGAGGATGGGTGAGCTATGATTATGGCATTGCACTCCAGCCTGGGCAACAGAGAAAGATCCTATCTCAAAAAAAGGAAAGAAGAAGAAAGAAAATGTGTCTTATTTAGATAATGGACTATTATTTGACCTTAAAATACAAGGAAATTCTGCCATGTGTGACAACATGGTTGAACCTGGAGGACATTCTATTAAGTGAAACAGCCAATCACAGAAGGACAAATACCACATGATTCTATTTATATGTGGTATCTAAAACAGTCAAGCTCATGGGAGCAGAGACTAGAATGGTGGTTTTCTGGGGTCAGGAGTAGGGACAAATGGAGGGTTGTTCAATGAGCATAAAGTTTTAGTTATGCAAGATGAGTAAGTTCTAGAAATTTACTGCACAACATAGTGCAGTATGCACTGGTCAACTCTGGTTGACAGTATTGTGCACTTAAAATTTTAAGAAGGTAGATCTCATGTTATAAAAAAAAATAAAAGAAATAAAAGAAACCAGGTTACTTTTAGAGGTGATGGCTATGTCTAAACCTTTATTGTGATGACAGTTTTATGGGCGTACGCATATGTCCAAACTCATGAAATTGCATATGTTAAATATGCACAGTTTTTTATTTGTGTTATGCCTCAATAAAGTTCTTTTTTAAGAAAAGAATCCTCATTTGTATATTGGTAAGCAATATATAAAGATTTTTTTTAAGCAAGGAAAAAAAAAAACAGAAAAGACCTCAGATTTGAGGTCTGCCAGTTTCACTTAAGAATGTTGAAAAAAATTAACTTTATTAAATGTTGACCCTTGAGGATGTATCTTTTTAATATTCTGTGTGGTGAAATGGAAGTACACAGAAAGTATGTTTGTGACATACCAAAGTATAATGGTTATCTCCAGAAAGAGCACTTGTACAAATGTTTCAGTTGCCAGCTGGTCTAGCCATTTGTTTCATGGGATACCATTTTCACTTTAAGGACTTACACATGAATTATAGTTATTCAGACTTGCGTATTTGGCAGACACTTTCTCAAAAACGTACAAAGTGAGACTATCATTTCAAGGAAAACAACACACAGTATTTTTTCCAGTGATTAAAATACAAGCTTATAAGTGAAAATCAGAATTTTGGAAAACATATCTACCATGGTGAATCTGATAGCTTCCCAATACTCAAAGATTTTTCTGACGATATTGGTGGTGATGTTAGCTAATGTGATTTTTTGATAGTGTACAATGAAACGTCAATTTGGAATACCTGCATAACTCAATGAACTTTTTCTTTTCCCCAAAGATCAACGATGTTACAAAATCACACATGGATAAAAGATGCATTCAAAGAGCAAAACAGACTAATGGATTTTCATATGGCAGAGTATGAAAATTACTAATATGGTTTCAGTTTCCACATTGCAACTAACCTTTAAAAATCTACCTCTTTTTCAAGTGTTAGTACAGTATAAAGAAGAATATCCATTATTATCTGAGAAGGTTATTAAAATAGTCCTCTGTTTTCCAACTACATTTGTGTGAGGTCAGATTTTCTTCATATAGTGTGACCAAAACAAGATGTCATAAGATGGAAAGTAGAAGTAGATCATCTTTGTTGACCAAATATTGAAGAGATTTGCAAAAAGGTATAGCACATACAATTATGTATAGCATACAATACTTGATAACAACAATAAACAACTATGTTACTGGCTTATGTATTTACTATACTTTCAATCATTATTTTAGAGTGTACTCCTACTTATAGAAATATCTTAAACTTACCTGTCAAACAACCCCAGGCAAGTCCTTCAGGAGGTATTCCAGAAAAAGATATTGTTATAGAAGATGACAGCTCCATGAATATTGCTGCCCCTGAAGACTTTTTGGTAGGACAAGTTGTGAAGGTGGACAGTGGTATATATATATATGAAAGCTTACAGAATAAGGATATAAAGAAAATATTTCTGTACAACTTATGACGTGTTTGTATTTTAAGATAAGGGTTATTACAAAAGAGTCAAAACGTTTTTTTAAAAATTAAAAGTTCTTAAAGTAAAAAAGTCACAGTTAGGCCGGGTGTAGTGGCTCATGCCTATAATCCCAGCAACTCGAAAGGCTGAGGTGGGGGGATTGCTTGAGGACAGGAGTTCAAAACTCTGTCTCTACTAAAATACAAAAATTAGCCAGGCATAATGGTAATTATGGGACTACAGCTGTAGTCCCATCTACTTGGGAGGCTGAGGCAGGAGAGTCACTTGAACTCAGGGGGCAGAGGTTGCAGTGAGCCAAGATCGTCCTAATGTACTCCAGCCTCGGTGACAGAGTGAGACTCCAGCTCAAATAATAATAATAATGATAATGATATATAGTTCCTTTAGAGTTGGAAATAGGGTAGGGAAGGCTCTTCCTTTTATGTTTTGGATCAATTTACCACTCAGAATATTTGTCCCCTAATTGCCTACTGAATATATCTGTTAACCAAATACAGTAAATGCTCAAGGAATATTTGTTGAAAGATCACTTGAGGAACATAGCATTATACTTCCTTAAGGATTGCGATAGGCAAAACATTTTGGTTCTTCAAACCTAAATAGTAGTTGTTTTATCCTAAATAAGTTAAACATTCTTCAAAGTCTTGTATGTCATGTGTATAGAATAGTTATAATTTTAAAACTGTGGGAATAAGACAAATCAAATTTTCTTTATTTGTTTCCCACCTGGATAATCCAGAATCAAACTTTATTTAGATGTTAGGCTTGTTCTGTTACAGATCATCAAAAAACAAATCACTGGAACTTCTCATGTCAGCAAACTCTGGTTGAAAGAATTCCTGCAAAGAAAAAATAAATGAATGAAAATATGAACATCTATAGAAAATATAAATGCAAGACAACAACAAAAAACTTACATAGAGTTACCAATATGGTTTAGCTATGTCCTCACCCAAATCTCATCTTGAATTGCAGTTCCCATAATTTCCACGTGATGGGAGGGACCCAGTGGGTGGTAACTGAATCATGGGGGTGGTTACTCTCATGCGGTTCTCATGATAGTGAGTGAATTCTCATGAGATCTGATGGTTTTACAAAGGACTTTTCCCCCTTTTGCTTGGCACTTCTCTCTCCTGCTGCCTCTTGAAGAAGGACATGTTTGCTTCCCCTTCTGCCATGATTGTAAGTTCCCTGAAGCTTCCCCAGCCATGTGAAACTGTGAGTCAATTAAATGTCCTTTCTTTATAAATTACCCAGTCTTGGGTATTTCTTCATATCAGCATGAGATGAACTAATACACTTGTCATAAGGATCAAAAAGTGAGCAGATGTGTCTGCAAATGTTAGGGGGACTATGAGGTTGGCCTGAGGGGTGGAGAAACAGACAAAAGAGTATAGAGGCTAGGTAGACTGAAAGAGAAAAAAATGAGTAGGCTAAGAACCTCCCAAGAACCAGAAAACTATGGATGTTAAGAAACCAAAAAGATAATCTGCAAGGCAAAAGATAAAAGAAACAGGACTTTTAACTGGGTTCTTCAAGTATTAGGTCAATGAGTTACACATATACTGCATTATACTACTAGACTATTTTGTAAGGCATTTTGAACTCTAACCGTGTCCAGTCAAAACTGTATAATCACATCAGTGTCTGCATGGGAGAAGGATGCTGGCTCAATTTTTAGTTCTTTTTCTAAAAAAATTTTAAGCTCCTTCTAATATTCTCAACTTAGAAAATCTTGGGAAACGAGCTACAGCCCACTCTTCCATACATGTTCTTTGCAGAAGAGAACAGACAAGGAGTAGATAAAAGCAATACATGATCACTCTCCAGAGGCCTTACTTCTTAGGAAACTGTGCCATTCAAAAGGGAGGCAAGGCTCTCCTCCCCATTGATTTATTAGTGGGGCATGTTATATGTGTGGTATTCTGTGTATGTGTGCGTGCATGCATGCATGTACATGAATGAGTGTGTTAAGAGGACATATGTGGGACCAGCCAACTCTCAGACTATGACATACCTTGAACCTATCAGCAGCAGGATGTAAACACTGACATGAATGCTGTCACTCTGGAAAAGAGGTGAAGTTTTATGTACATATGTTAGTCTTTCCTCCTCAGCAGAGGTGAGGAACACACACACACACACACACACACAGACACACACACATACACACACACAGAGACACAGAAATTCTCCTAAGTTGGGGGCCAGAACAGGGTGGAGCGGTCAGTCTGTACCCCTTACTCCCTGTACATTCTGAATGGCCAGGTAAGAGGCAGAACTCCAACAATAGGAAAGAAAGAACTGAAGATAGACTACACTGGGAACTCACTCTGGCTGCTGTGGGCAGACATAGTCTTTTTCAAAGACATAGTTGAAGCACTAGGCTTAAAATTTGTGAGAGGTTGCAAGCCTGCATAAAAATAAAAGAGATAAGAAAAACAGTAAATATTGTCAAAGTCTTCTAAAATTAGTCTATGATAGAAGATAAAAAAATTAACCTTGTAAGCAAAAAGCAAAATTTACCTGCAAATAACTTTTTTTCTAGTTCTTCTTGGATCTTAAGAAGAATTCTCTCCTGTTCTAAGGCTTCTATATACTTTGAGTAGCACCAGGTTGGCTAAAAAAAGCAATTTTCAAAGTTAATTTTGAATTGTTTGGCTTAAGAAATAAACTGAAGGTAAGATGTCTTCTATAAGCCTCTTCATTTAAATTTTATTAAAATATAACACACATAAAGGAAAGTGAGTATCATAACTTTATAATGTTATGAATTCTCACCAACTGAACGTATGTACCCATGTCACCTTTTAACTGTGTACCACAAATTATCAACCTACCTAAGTCTGTTTTCATATAAGTTTTATGATAAAGTAAGTGTATTTTCTTCTATAGCCTTGACAAAATTTTAAAATTCCCTGGTTCAAAGGGAGGAGGTGGGTTGGGGACGTAAGGGTAGTGATACACTATTTCTCAGTGAATCAATGTCAACAAAAGTTTTACAGATATCTTGACATCTATTCAATCATCTTTATATAGTCAGTTTGATTGGAAATTTAGTGCTTAGGAAATATCTTTATATATTCCATTTAACTGTAAATTTAGTGTTGAAGAAAGATCCAAGTTTTAGGGGGAGGGGAATTTTGCACTTGGATTCATCGTAATTCTTCAATGTGCAAAATCTATCCAAGACAAATGCATATACAGTTAGCCCTTCACACCCATACATTATACATCTGCACATTAAACCCAACTGCAGATTAAAAATATTTTTAAAAATCAACAAAAAATAATATAAATAAAAATATACAGTATAACAACTATTTACATAGCATTTACTTATGTTATAGTATAATACTTAGATAATATAAGTAATCTAGAGATGATTCGAAGCATATGGGAGGGTGTGGATAGGTTATATGCAAATACCATGCCATTTTATATCAGAGACTTGAGTATCTTCAGATTTTGGTGTCTGCAAGTAGTCTTGGAACCAACCCACAGTGGATTGGAATATCTACAAAGGAACATCTACTAAGGAACATCTACATTTACAAAATGTCAGTGTATTATTACTTTACAAATTGCTAAAGTAATTCAACATGTATCCTTTAAATAGAAATCATAATAAGCTACATTTATATTTATCAAATATCTTTGGTTTTTTAGTTTCCTATAAAAATCTTGAATATGACAAGACTTCATCATCATCACCACCATCATCATCATCCCTTTCTCTCTTTCTCTTTTTAACACATAAGGTAAGAGGCTCAAAGGAAATTATGTGATTACTTCCAGGCTTCAAGGTAATACTGACTTGTGATAAAACAAAAATTAGAAGCCTGTTAGCTCACGCCTGTAATCCCAGCACTTTGGGAGGCTTAGGTGGGATGATTACATGAGCCCAGGAGTTTGAGACCAGCCTAGGCAACATGGTGAAACCTCATCTCTACAAAAAGTACAAAAAATTAACCAGGCATGGTGGTGTGCACCTGTAGTCCCAGCTACTTGGGAGGCTGAGGTAGGAGGATTGCTTGAGCCTAGGAAGTTGAGGCTGCAAGAGCCCTTGCACCCTTTAACTTACAAAGAGTTCTTGTACCACTGCACTCCAGCCTGGGTGACAGGGCAAGACCCTGTCTCAAAAAAAGAAAAGAAGCCTGGTATCTCTAACTGGACATTTCCCCCTTTTACTCTGTGTTTCTCAAATTTAGTGCTAGTCATTTGCTAATGAATGTATTTTTGAATGGTATTATTTATTAGGTATCATATGCTTTTAGGTATCTCTTTCAGTATACAGTTACACAAAACTGGATATTTCTCATCTCTCAATAATAGCTTCATAGTTGGGCAGTTATCTTAGCTGGGTAACTGAACTTATTTGACTTTCCTAAATGCCAAAAAGATTGTTTCTTGAGTTAGTATTATCCTAAGATACAAATGCTTTCAATACAAGCCATCGAAAATAGACATAAACATATGAAATTTCAGGGAAGTGACAGTAATGTACTAGTTGTAAATGTAAACACAGAAACCATAATGTATTGGTTGGTGCTAATGTATGGCTAATTTTTTGACTATTTCAAAGAATTTAAAATTTGAGACTAAGCATTTGACATTCTTCTGTCATCTTTTAACCCAAGAATATAACATCCTATATATATTCTATCTTGTTCTATTATACAGTATCTGTCTTATTTTCTTTTCCAATAAGATGATCATTTCAATGTCTGCAATTTAAGTCTTCATGTATCTCAAGAAGTTATTTTTCTTGATTATACTATCTGGGATTGGCTGAAATTTTAATGCTCTCTGAAGGCTCAAAGAAAAGCCCTTCCATCTCTCCTACTATTATAATTCTAGGCTTATTTTCAAACAAACACATTTCTAGTACTGTACAATGACTGAGTTACTGCATTCCACTATCCAGTGCTCTAGAGGAGAAATGAGGTCTGCACCATCTTGCCTGCTTACCTGTCGGCCATATGCTTGGAGGCCTAGGAAGGAATCACTGAGTAAAGCAGTTTTGATATCAGGCACTGAAGCATCTGCATATGGTTTGATTCCATCCTGTAATTATATTAAATTAAATTATTCCCCAAAAAAGATAATGCTATGTTAACATAAACTTATGGTTAAGGAGTTGTAACATCATATGACATAATATTTCATAGTGAGTGCTGCACTTGAGGTTTGAAGTCAATATCACTAATGTGACAGAGTTTCCTGTTTTTATTTTTAATTTTATTTCATAATATAAAAATACTTTAAAATAAATGAGAGAAATGATTAAGTTGAATGTAAATATCATTCCCAAATTCTGGAATCCAAGAAAAACCACTATTAACATTTTCATGAACATCCATCCATATTTCTCACTAGGGAAAATGCATAGATTCATAATTTTAATATTTTTTATTATACAAATTTTATACAAATAGAATCTATATTTGTTCTTTTTAAATTTGCATTTTTCATGTAGAATATCTTGTGAAAATGTAAATAAATATAGAACTGGAATGTACACTGGGCCTCTGTATTATTTCCCAGTGTTTATCTGCTGTGGAACAGTGTCTGCCACATAGTATGCGCTCAAATATTTGTTGAATGATGAAATTCATAAATTACATCACCATTTTCAGTGGATGAATGATCTTATGGACTAAAAGGTTTGCTGAATGATAAAATGAATAAATTTTATCATCATTTTTCAACAGGTAATATTCTAGAGAAAGCATAGTACCACAGATAATTAACAACACTCATTAGAAATTCAGGTCATTTTCTTCATCAGAAACAGAAAGTCAAAAACCACATGTTCTCATTTATAAGTGGGAGCTAAATGATGGGTACACACAGATATACAGAGTGAAATAATAGACACTGGTGACTCCAAAAAGTTGGGAGCGTGAGAGGCAGGTGAAGGATGAAATACAACCTGTTGGGTACAATGTACACTATTTGAGTGATGAGTATACGTCAAAGCCCAGTCTTCACTACATACAACACACCCATGTAATACATCTGCACTTGTACTCCTAAATCTATACAAATAAATAATTAATAAAATTTATTTAATAAAAGAAAAAAGCTTACTCAAACTTAAGAGGAAAGCGACAAACAGGAAAACACATATGAAGTAATTATAACATAAGAGAACCATGTATAATTGTATTTCATTAATATAAACCTTTAAGAAAAACAAGCCAACAGATGAGTAAAGAAGAGACACCACAGATACTTCCCCAAAGAGGAAATACTACAGCTTAACAAACATGAACAATTTTTTTAATATCCCTACTAATCAAAGTCATGAAAATAAGAACAACATTTCATGCCTTTCAAATTAGTCTTTAAAAATGATAATACAAGAGTTTCAACATATAAATTTTGATGAACACAAACATGTAGTCCATACCAACTACTTTTCATTTCTACAACTTTATTATCTGAAACAGAAACTCTGTACCCATTAAATAGTAACTTCTCCCTGCCTCCTATCCCCAGACCCTGGCAACCTCTATTCTATTTTCTGTTTCTATGAATTTGACAATTTTAGGTACCTCATCTGGCAAGAGGGCTGAAGAGGAACAGCTCTGGTCTGCAGCTCCCAGCGAGACCAACACAGAAGGTGGGTGATTCTGCATTTCCTACTAAGGTACCTGATTCATTTCACTGGAACTGGTTAGACAGTGGGTACAGCCCATGGAGGGTGAACAGAAGCAGGGTGGGGCATTGCCTCACCTGGAAGTGCAGGGGTTGGGGAACTCCCTCCCCTAGTCAAGAGAAGCTGAGAGGGACTGTGCTGTGAGGAATGGTGCACTCCGGCCCAGATACTATGGTTTTCCCACAGTCTTCACAACCTGTAGACCAGGAAATTCCTTTGGGTGCCTACGCCACCAGGGCCCTGGGTTTCAAGCACAAAACTAGGTGGTTGTTTGGACAGACACTGAGCTAACTGCAGGAGTTTTTTTTTTTTTTTTTTGTACCCCAGTGGCACCTGGAACACCAGCAAGACAGAAGCATTCATTCCCCGGGAAATGGGGCCGAAGCCAGGGGGCCAAGTGGTCTTGCTCAGCAGGTCTCACCCCCATGGAGACCAGCAAGGTAAGATCCATCTTGCTGCCAGCCCAGCAGTCTGAAGTCAACACGGGACTCTTGAGCTTGGTGTGGGGAGGGGTGTCCACCATTACTGAGGCTTGAGTAGGCGGTTCTCCCCTCATAGTGTTGAGGAAGCCTCTGGGAAGTTTGGACTGTGGGGAACTTACCACAGTGTGACAAAGCAGCTGTGGCCAGACTGTGTCTCTAGATTCCTACTCACTGGGCAGGGCATCTCTGAAAGAAAGGCAGCAGCCCCAGTCAAGGGCTTATAGATAAAACTCCCAACTACCTGGGACAGAACACCTGTGGCTATGAGTGCAGCTTTATCAGACTTAAATGTTCCTGCCTGCTGGCTATGATGAGAGCAATGGATCTCCCAGCACAACATTTGAGCTCTGCAAAGGGACAGATTGCCTTCTCAAGTGGGTTCCTGACCCCCGTGCCTCCTGACTGGGAGACACCTGCCAGCAGGGGTTGACAGACACCTCATACAGGAGAGGTCCAGCTGGCATCAGGCTGGTGCCCCTCTGGGACAAAGCTTCCAGAGGAAGGAGCAGGCAGCAATCTTTGCTGTTCTGCAGCCTCCACTGATGATACCCAGGCAAAAACGTCCGGAGTGGACCTCCAGCAAATTCCAGCAGACCTGCAGAAGAGGGACCTGAGTGTTAGAAGGAAAACTAACAAACAGAAAGCAACAGCATCAACATCAACAAAAAGGGCACCCACAGAAAAACTCCACTGAAAAGCCATCAGCATCAGAGATTAAAGGTAGATAAATCCAAGAAGATGAGAAAAGAATGATGCAAAAATGCTGAAAATTCCAAAAACCAGAATGCCTCTTCTCCTCCAAAGGATCGCAACTCCTCTCCAGCAAGGGCAAAAAACTGGATGGAGAATGAGTTTGACAAACTGACAGAAGTAGTCTTCAGAAGGTGGGTAATAACAAACTCCTCTGAGCTAAAGGAGCATGTTCCAATGCAAGGAAGCTAAGAACCTTGATAAAAGATTACAGGAACTGCTAAGTAGACTAACGAGTTTAGAGAATAACATAAATGACCCGATGGAGCTAAAAACACAGCACAAGAATTTTGTGATGCATACACAAATATCTATAGCCAAACTGATCAAGGAGAAGAAAGGAAATCAGAGATTGAAGATCAACAATGAAAAAGCATGAAGACAAGATTGGAGAAAAATGAATGAAAACAAACAAACAAAGCTCCAAGAAGTATGGGACTGCATGAAAAAACCAAACCTATGATTGACTGGTATACCTGAAAGTAACAGGGAGAATGGAACCAAGTTGGAAAACACACTTCAAGATATTATCCAGGAGAACTTCTCCAACCTAGCAAAACAGACCAACATTCAAATTCATGAAACACAGAGACAGCCACTAAGATACTCCTTGAGAAGAACAACCCCAAGACACATAATTGTCAGATTCTCCAAGGTTGAAATGAAGGAAAAAAAGTTAAGGACGGCCAGAGAGAAAGTTGGGTTACCCACAAAGGGAAGCCCATCAGACTAACAGTGAATCTCTCTGCAAAAACCCTACAAGCCAGAAGAGACTGGGGGCCAATATTCAACATTCCTAAAGAAAAGAATTTTCAGCCTAAAATTTCATATCCAGCCAAACTAAGCTTCCTAAGTGAAGGAGAAATAAAATCTTTTACAAACAAAGCAAATGCTGAGGGATTTTGTCACCACCAGGCTTGCCTTACAAGAGCTCCTGAAGGAAGCACTAAATATGGAAAGGAAAAACCAGTACAAGCCACTGTAAAAACATACCAAAGTATAGAGACCAACAACACTATGAAAAAAACTGCATCAACTCATGTGCATAATAATCAGCTAGCATCATGATGACAGGATCAAATTCACACATAATAATATTAACCTTAAATGTAAATGGGCTACGTGCCCCAATTAAAAGACACAAACTGGCAAACTGGATAAAGAGTCAAGACCCATTGGTGTCCTGTATTCAGGAGACCCATCTCATGTGTAAAGACACACATAGGCTCAAAATAAAGGGATGGAAGATTATTTACCAAGCAAGTGGAAAGCCAAAAAAAAAAAAAAAAAAAAAAGCAGGGGTTGCAATCCTAGTCTCTGATAAAACAGACTTTAAACCAACAAAGACAAAAAAAGACAAAGTAGGGAATTACATAATGTAAAGGGATCAATGCAACAAGAAGAGTTAATTATCCTAAATATCCTAAATATATATACACCCAATACACAGATTCATAAAGCAAGTTCTTAGAGACCTACAAAGAGACTCAGACTCCCACACAATAATAGTGGGAGACTTTAACACCCCACTGTCAATATTAGACAGATCAATGAGACAGAAAGTTAACAATGAGACAGAAAATTAACAAGGATACTCAGTACTTGAACACAGCTATGGACCAAGTGGATCTAATAAACATCTGTAGAACTCTCCAGCCCAAATCAACAGAATTTACATTTTTCTCAGCATTACATAACATGTATTCTAAAATCGATAATATAATTGAAAGTAAAACACTCCTCAGCAAATGCAAAAGACAGAAATCACAACAGTCTCTCAGAGCACACTGTGATCAAATAAGAAATCAGGATTAAGAAACTCAGTGAAAACCATATAACTACATGGAACCTGAATATTCTGCTCCTGAGTGACTACTGGATACATAACAAAATTAAAGCAAAAATAATTAAGTCTTTGAAACCAATGCAAACAAAGACACACATACCAGAATCTCTGGGACCCAGCTAAAGCAGGGTTAAGAGGGAAATTTATCACATTAAATTCTCACATCAGAAAATGGGAAAGATCTAAAATTGACACCCTAGTATCACAATTAAAAGAACTAGAGAAGAAAAAACAAACGAATTCAAAAGCTAGCAGAAGACAAGAAATAACTAAGATCAGAGCAGAACTGAAGGAGATACAGACAGGAAAAACCCTTCAAAAAAGC